TTGGCCCTGTGACCTGCGTCGTCCTACCTACCCCCAGACGGGAAGAGGGATACAAGCAGAGGTTTGAGACATTCTTGTGCGTTTCAGGCTTGCTCCGGGTGCTGGGACCCCTCTAGCAGCACGTGAACAAGCCCAGGCTTGTCTTCTGGGAGGTGAGAGCCTGGGGGGGGGAGGGGGGAGCATCAGCCATCTCCAGCGTTCCTGCCATCCTAGCCGATGCCCCTAAAATAGGCCATCCTGGATCACCCAGCCCCAACCAGGCGAGCTCACATCAGAAAAGCCCCCCAGCCAGCTCACAGAACCACAGGAAGTAATAAATCCTTGTTGGGTTAAGCCACACAGTCTACACAGTCCGGGGTGCTTTGTTACACAGCAAACACTAGCCGATACACTTCTCCAGCTGCGGGAGGCTGTTAACTGGGCCACAAAGTCCCACATAGGGTTTCCGTGTCTAACAGGAAGGACAGAGTGAACATCAGGACGGGCCGGGTAGCAGCCCCTGCGGCTGGCAGAGTGGCCTGCTCCCCAGGGCCCAGAAGACAGGCACGGCCCCACCCGCCCACCTCCACCGCCTTGCTGACGGATTCGGTCCCTGTGCCACCAGGACGTGAGGCCACGGTCAGGAAGGAGGCTCTGAGCTGGCCGGGCCGTGGCCCCGCCACCCGCCTCCCTCTGAGTGTTCGGTGGGGCGGCCGCTCGCCCACAGGTACCCTGTCTGTCCACAAGGCACCGTCCATTCGGGGCTCAGAGCCCACCCAGGTCCTGCCCACAGCTGTCCCCGACGGCCCCGGCCACTGCCCGGCTGGCCCCGCACGCCCAGCAAGCACCTAGAGCCCCGACCTCCCGGGCAGCACGCGGCAAGCAGCTCCCGGGGCCGCCCGACGCCCACCGCTCAGGGCCGGCCGCGGAAACCCTTCCCACCTTGCGTCTCAGGGTCACGCACGCGACAGGGGCGCGCAAACAGAGGAAACTAGCAAATGAGCTCTGGGGGCTTCGAAGGACGCGCGGGACGCAGCCGAGGAGGGAGACGGAGCGTCGCGGACGTGTCTTTCTCCGGTTTCCAAAACGTGTCCACATTCTCTCACTCGGCCTCAGATCAACACCGCTGGGGAATGAGCGGCTGCGGGACCCCAAAGACACGGGCCCACGCTCGATCACCCTGCGGCGTTACCAGCCCAACAGCAGCTCGCCTTGGGGACGGGGAGCAGGGATCCTACCCACGGAGCCTGCGGTGACAGCGTGGCCCCGAGTGACCTCGGAACGTCCTCCCTGACTGACCTCTGGTCTCCAGCCTGGGAAACTGATTTCTGCTGTCCTGAGCCACCCCATTCGCGGTCCTTGGTTACGGCGGCCCCAGGACACTGACACATCTCCCGGACACACACGTGCCCTGGCTCATTTCTTTTATTATTACTACAGGAACCAACGTGCCCACATCGGCGGCCCCCTCGCCCTGGGGGCCCTGTCGGCGGGGCCGGGACTCCAGACCACGGTGCCCAGGGAACCGTGTGACCTTGGGGGTAACTCAGTCCCCAGAGCCTCACGCCGCCCTTTCCCTAACGTGGAGCTAGACTGTGGCCACGGCTCCTCTGTGGGGCAGCCACAGGGCCACTGGAGGGGACCCGGCCGCGGAAACGGTGAAGCGCATCTCCCAGTAAACGGCGGGAGTTACAAAAAGGCATCCGGGTCCCTGCGCCTTGAGTGCGGCGAAGCCCCTGTGCCCGCCCCTCCCGCCGCCCCACTCCCTCGACCAGAAACGGCAGGTGTGGGCACAGAGGCCAGGCCCGGAAGGGTCAGCAGACGCGGGCACCCCGCCGGCTGCGCCAGCCTGCCCGGGGCGCAGCGGCCGTCACATGTCCAAGGTGCCAAGCTGGTGAAAGGCCGCCGCCCGCCCCCGGCACCGCCGCCCTCCGCAAACGCCCGGCCCGAGTTGGTGCCGAGCAGCTTGCGGGGTCACGTGCCCAGGCCGCTGGCGGCAGGCCGGTCAAGGGGCCCTGCCCTCCCTCTCCCCCTTGGCGCACCTCTGATTCGAAGGAATGTGTGTGTGTGTGTGCTTCTGACTCCTTCAAGGGGAAAAAGCTCGCTCTCGGCAGAATTCTTCCTGGGACCCCGGCCGCTGGCCGCCGGTGAGGGATCCTGGGGGGCTGGGGCCAAGGCGGGGACCGCGGCCCCTCAGCCCTCCCGCCAGCGCTCCCTGAAACCACAGGCGCCTTCGGAGGCATCCCCTCGCTCGGGAAGGTGTGCAGGTCGGGGTCACGGGCAGGCTGGATAGTCAGCCCCCGCCGGCTTCAGATCCCACCCGTGGGATTTGAAATCCTAGGAGCCAGCCGTTGACCTGGGGCAAGTCCTCCTCCCCCCGAGCCTCAGACTGCTCATCCACAGAATGGGAACGTTCCCCAGGGCTCTGCCAGGGGCTGCACACGGGGAAACCACCTCCTTCTCTTTCACTCTCCAGGGGGACAGCTGACGGTGACACCAGATGGCGGGTGTCACCGCGGCTTTCAGGCAGGCCCGGGGGGAGTGGCAGCCTCCACTTAGATAAGGTGGCTCTCGGCTCGGGTCGCCTGGGACGAACCCTTGATAAACTGGCACCGGGAGCTCCCGTTTTCTCCAAAGCTCGGCCGTGCGCCCAGCCGCCCCGCAGCCCCGTCAGAAGGGAGCGGGTCACAGCCACCCCCCAGCATCGCGTGGAGGCGCGCCCTGCCCAGAGCCGGGGTCCCACGAAGGAAGGACAGCTTCCTTAATTCGGTGTGGAGCAATCCCGCTTTCGGGCCCCCGTGACACAGCCTTTTTTTTCTGGCACTTTCCCTACGACCCAAAGTTTGGTGTCATCGACTCCTGTTGGGGCCACGTTCCCAGGTGGGGGGGGGTGTCTGTGATCGGGCCATCGTTCCGGGGGACCTGGAGGTTTTGCTGCGGTCACACAGTGGCCGAGGGACTGCCTGACCCGAGACCCTGGAAGGCCCCACCGTGTCCCCGACGGCAGCTCCCAGGGAGCCCCAAGAGCACAGACGCGGCTCCCTCCTGGAAAAGTGAAGACAGGGGCCCGAGGGGCCAGGCTCCGGCCCCTAGTCACCCAGCAAGAGGGGGGCAGCGAACAGGAACCCAGTGCCTGACACAGGTCCCCCCCATCCTGTGTGAGGGCTCAGGGGAAACAAGACAGCATCTTCCCACAACAGCGCCCCCCCGGGACTGGGTCTGTCTTTACTCCCATCCTGGGCCCCATCCTCCACCAGGACCCCCGGCCACCACATTCCCTGAGCGCTCGCCAGCTGGGCACAGGCCAGCGACTTGTCAGCCCCTCTGGACGTGCTACTATTTCCGCGACTAAAAAGCCGGGTTCAGAGAGGTTAGGTGACTTGCCCGAGGTCACACAGCCCAGGCCTGGCTGCTCCCCTGCCCGCCTCTGCCCGTGCACGCTTGGCCCCCGGCGCCGGCCGCCTCTGGGTCCATCTCCCCCGGGAAGTGGCACGTGTGTTCCCGGCACCGTAAGCCCGAGGAGCATCCGCACGCCGCCATGCCCACGACCACCCGTCCGTCCTCAGCAAAGGTGCTCAGAGCCGACTCTGGCCCCCAAACACACAGAAGAGGAGGGACGCCTGGGGGCGCGCAGGCGGCAGGGACGACGGGTCCCAGCGAAGACGCGTCACCAGAACCCGCTTCCCGAAGAGGGGGTGTCCCGGCCAGGTGGGAGCAGCAGGGGCGCAGGCGCGGAGCAGGGTGGCGATGCCATGCCCAGGGATGTCCTTGGAGCCACCTCGTGACAGGGGCGGGGAGGGAAGGAACGGGCTGTGTAGGACCTTTTAGGATCGAACCAGAGGCTGGAGGTTGAGACTCTTCTCCTTGAGGAGCCATAGGAAGTTCCAAGCCCCTGGTGAGTGACGGACGTGCCATCTGGAAGTGTCCCCTGGAGACCAAGGTGCCCCAGAAGGAGAAGAGGTGGGGGGCGGGGAGGCCCGGCAGGTTGCTGAGCCACGGGTGCTTGTCTTGAGGACAGAGAGTTGGTGGAACGAGCCAGGAGTGGTCTCGGGGGCACATTTTTTTAATGCCTGGCAATTGCCTTTGGCTTCTGCAAGAAAAGGACGTTTCTGGAAGTTTGGCAGAGAATTCGGTGAATGCAAAAAATGAGCATCTAATTACAAGTGGGCCCCCCCCCAACTCCCACCTGGACCGATGGCCCCCACTCTGGTATTCAAGAAGCCGTCGGGGAGACTTTCAACCCCACCAACGGCTGCACCGTGTCAGGAACCTTCTGTAGGAGAGGACGTCCACACGCGGCTGCATCCCCGGCCAGGCCTGGCGGCCAAGCCGTGGAGGGGAGGGCGCCCGGGCCCCGGAGCGAGCATGGCCATCGCCTTAGGAGGACGGCGGGGCGGGGGGGCTCAAGGGGCGGCGGGACCCCAAAAGGGCAGGGGAGCATTGGTGCCGGGGCCCGAGCCCTGGCTTCGGGGAATGTGCCCCACCCGCCTCCAGCCATGGCCCAATGGGTAGGCGGAATCAGCACGCTGGACTGAGCTATCTTGGGCCAGAATTTGGAATGCCACACGTAGCAAACAGTTAATGATCAACTATCCAAAAGGCCTAGAACTAATAGCACTATAAAATGCGTCAAATATCTGCCCCTGACCAGACTAGACATGACAGCCAGGGAGGGAGCGCCTCTGGGTTTCCCCTCCCCATAACCTTGCTCTGCGAGGCGGGCCTGTGGGGAAAGTTCCCCTCGGCAGGCCACCTATCTGGAAATCACTCCCACGTGCTCGGTCACACCTCCCCGCCTCACGGCCGAGACCCCTCTCCCCTTGCGGCCTTTGCTGAGGGGACACATGTTCCTTCCCGAGTTGCATAGCTTGGGAGAAAGCCTGGAGTTTTTGTCAACAGAGCGTGTCTGTGCCCCCTTGAGAGAGAACAGGGGAGGGACGGCGGGTTCGTCCTCGAGGGGTCCCCCACCCCCACCCCCGCCATCGGGCCCTGACGCCCAGGGAAAGCACCTTCTCCAGAGCTGCTGACCTTTGACAATTTATATGCTAATTCCCAAAATGATTCTTCCTACATTAAATAAAAGCTGAGGAATGTTCCAAAGGTCTGAACAGATTGTACCATTAACAGACAGAGGAAGGCAACGCAAATCTGCCCACAGGAGTTGTGAGCGTGTGAACTCGCTCTCAGCACACACACACTTGCCTAATTTTAGGCCCACGTGCTCCTTCAGCTGACTCGGTCCAAGTAAAACTGCTTCGGCATCCAAAGCCTCCAAGTGCCCATCTTGACCTTGACGTCCCCTTCCCGAGCAACCTTTTGAGAAAGCAGAGAGAGTGCAGAAGAAGGCGGAGGTCCCACATTGAGCCCGCGCCCCCCAGAGCGATCGTCTGCCTTGGGTCGCGTCAGCGCCGTCCAGGACCTAGGCCCCCCCACCGCCGATCCAGGACCGAGGCCCCCCGCCTCCTGGCCAGCCTCCTCACGGCGTCCCACCGCCCCCCAAACACACTGGTTCTCTAGACGCCCCTCCCGCCTCACCAAGACCTTCTTGCTTCAGAGGCTTTTGCACATTCTGTTCCCCCTGCCGGGGTGGCTCTTCCCCATTCCCTCGAGCAGGTTACCCCAACTCATCTCAGCTTAGAGCAGCCCACCCTGATCATCAGATGAAGCGAGGCCCCAGCTATACACACAGCGGGCACATTTCCGTCCCTGGTGCTCCTGACAATTCTAGTGGGATTAGCTGTATAATACTTTGTTCCGGGTCTGTGGCCATCATTCAATGGTGGCCATCATTCAGGTCTATCCTATATCCCCAGTCTAGAAGAAGGCTTGCCATAGAATACAGGGAATGGGGGGCAGGGATGGAGGGAGAGAAGGAGACGGACGTTTGGATGGATGAACAGAAGGAAGGATGGGTAGATGGATGTTGGCTGGATGGAAGGAAGGGTGAATGGATGGATGGATGGATGGACGGACGATGGATAGATGGATGGATGGACGGACGGACGATGGATGGATGGATGGATGGATGGACGGACGCTGGATAGATGGCTGGATGGAAGGAAGGGTGAATGGATGGATGGATGGATGGATGGACGGACGATGGATGGATGGATGGATGGACGGATGGACGATGGATGGATGGATGGATGGACGGACGGACGATGGATGGATG